CTACAACTGTCACTTGCTGGTGTAGATTTCAGAGATGGGAGCAGTCATTGGTTGTCAAGYAATCTCATCAATTCTTCCATTCAATTTGTACCACTTGGCAAAACAAAGGATGGGGCTAAGCTGTCTTGTATTGYGCATAAGAAAAGGGTAGGGAATTGAACTCAAGAAGTATAATATTCAAACTTGGATATTTTGTTGCTTTCCTTTTTCCCATTCTATTTCCATTTTTCGTACATTTATTCCCATTTAAGTGCCTTCATATTCATATCTTTAGACCACTTTTTAATCCTGTTCATTTCCTATCCATTCATTTTTCATTAAATCATCTATCCATCTTTCATTTGTTCTTTCATTCATTCATGCATCCATTTTCTCCACTTTTGAAATACCTGTACCATGTTCTTTTCAGAAATACTTTCCAACAAAAGTCTGCATAAACGAGGARCTTGTGCGACAAGGTCTCGCAGTGACTGGMAACACAAACATGCTACTAGAATCAAACAGGAAATTCCAGGAACTGTTCACAATGTTATTGAAAGCAGAAGCAAACGCTGAGAAAAGAAGTCGCGGAATATGGGCAAAACCGCCATTGATGGAAAGACTTAAAAATAGTATTCGTCGTTTAACGCGGTTTTTTGATTGGAGAAAAAAGTAAAACTTCATTGTTTTTTATTGTGAAAGATGAAGAACACCGAGCAAGTATTGCTGTTCAATATTTGCACACACCATTCAAAATGTCGCGTTTCAACACGAAGATGTGTCCTTGCCCGAAACACTGCAGATAATGCGAGTTTATTTAATAGTCATTGGAGAAAGGCTTTAAATGCAGTAGGACTTAATGATCATAGAGATGATAATCTTATTTAGTCATCATCTTAAAATTGAACGTGACAAGATACTGCAAGAATCTTGCAAGAATGTCATATGAATTACTTTACATTCCAGGCGTGTGACATCATAGCTAGCTAATTAAAACCAACGCCCGACGTCACTCGTTCCTCCAAAACTCCGAACATACAACCCTTTAATAGATGTGCCAAGTTATAACACAACCAACTAGAAGATAAAACGAACAATTATGATCCCTTGAARTATAGAAAATACCGTTGGACATAGGCACTTCAATTTTAAGCCGCGAGGATTAACGTCCAAAATGTACGCTTTTGTAAGCTTCTATCGTTTTTCGGCGTTTACTATTTATTTGTTTTTATTGCAAAACATTGACGCAGAAGATACATTGTTGCTTCTTTATCAAGAAGATAAATTATGTCATTGAAAATATGTCATAACTGCATAAATATTACATGATTCAGTAGGCGTTAAGTTGTTAGCGTTTAAAACTGCCACAATGTATTATGTACAGTAATTTTTGTGAGTGCGATGCGGCAAAGTTGAAAAGTRAGCTATCTTGAATAARATGAGTGAACTARATTTGATGGTAAAAATAGTTATAATCCTATGTGCAAATGTGCAATTAGACCTTAATATTATCCAAGCATGACAATAAGCTTCCGTAAATGTTGTTTTGTTTTTGGAAACAGCTATTTCAAAACTGCCTAGTCTTGYAAAATTAGCAGACGWGTTAAAACTGACATTTTTAATGTAAGTTCTATTTTGACAGCTATGTGTGAGATAATTAAACTTCAATTAAACCTCGAAAGTATTTGATTTTATTTAATTAAGCTGTTTGGTCTTTGTGTAATACTAAAATACTTATGATATCGACAAAGAAACTTGTTCAACCGAGAGACATATTTCCTCCTTTGTGCTCTTGCGMCCTCGATTCAGAATAAAATAACAAGTTAATATGTAATATCAACTATCAATTAACTATCAATAAATCCGATTGAATTTTTAATACTGTTTTTAATGTTTCCATAATAATATTTTGATATTATTTTTACCAGCTTTTTATGACATATGGAATTAAAAGAATTTCAATAGCGAACAATGCAATAAGAGAGCCTTTTTGTCAAAAGTATTCAAATTTATTTATAAACCATACCTTTTTCTCTTATTAAAAACTATTTTAGTTTAATTACATGTTGATTCACAGTATCAGTGAGTTTTAATCTCGCATATGTAAAAAGATTGTAAGGTAAATGTTTTGAAAGATGAAAAACATTCATAATTAATTCCTTTGTGTTTTCCGATTGGCTTGTCATGCTGATCTGAAAAAGCTTGTTTCTTTATTTAAGAGAAAGAGGTTGTCATTCAAATCAGTTCACCCTGCAGAGAAAGAGATGAGCACTACGTTTGTAGAATACAMCAAACTGACATCTGCGATTACTGGCCACCAATGTGTGCATTCTCGGGCTACACGAAAACAACATCTTCATCGTCAARTCTTGTCTTTTTAGAAATCTTAATKCATTGCGCAAGKAGAAGTCGGTCATTATAATCCCTGGTTATARTAATAATAGTTGCCTGACAGAATTAAGTTTCTCTTGAGAAGCCGTTTGTATTGGGCAATTACAAGAATYGTACTAACAKAAGAACACTGATTTGCAAGCAATGGCATCGACTCCATACCCTTCTTTAACAGAGGAGGAATTAGACGCTTTAGAAAAGTTAGACAAGAGTATTAAAATCCATGAAGACGATTATGATAATAAGCAAACAGACGAGTCTGACGATGAAGACAAAAGTGTCAACCTTACGGACGACGAAGAGAATACTATCACAGTTAATGTTCCGCACTCCTTTCATCCMTTCAAGCTTCCTGCAATTCCAGAATCCAGAGAAGCAGATCCTGAGACTAACCCATCACAAAGAAAGATGAACGCTGGGTATATYATCTACGATGGCTCAGAGATCAAGTATGTCAGCGCTAAAGCAGTAGGACCAATGGATTCCGAACGGGGCACATCRACATTATCATCAGAAAAGGGCAGCAGCATYAGRAGCCGAGCATCTACCGCCACTCACACGTCTGATATTCCTGTGAATTTTTACCTAAGCGCTGAGGAGTTACTGGATTGTGATTACTTAAATAGAAACCGACGATTTTCRGTTACACACTACAACAGACTTCCAACAAATTCTCATTTCTCAGTAAGAGAAAAAATATACTTTTTCCTTGTTGGTTTGKCATGCGTGATTTCMTTYAGCGCAATCTTTGTGAGCGTTTCWTATTTCAAAACATATTTGGGAGAACATGTTTTATCGACAATTGGTAAGTTCATTTATGTAGATAATTCTATACTTTATTCATCAATTTYATGGTTGTTTATAGTATTTAAAACAATTACTTTTCCTACATCCCTCGCCATGTGATTCCCACCGGTGGGAACCGACTTGTCGACCGGAAGGCTTTTGTCTTTCTTCTGTGTTCCAAATGACTCTTTTGAAAGGATTAACCTGTTCTTTGATCGTTTTTTTCTCTTGGGATTTGGTAATTTTCATTGCAAGGCATATAACAAGTACTTTTAATGCCGTTTTGCGGTCTTGATTGTAAGTCTTGTTGAGGTCGAATCCTTGCAGCTGTTGGGTGTTACAGTTTTTCATAAGATTGACGCTCACACTTCATTTGAACTCTCAACACGTTCAGCAAAAAGCCATAACTCACTTCTTTTGTGTTTCACTTGTCAGTGGGTTTAATAAGCTTTTGCAACGTCTATTTTTGGTTGCAAGCTCAAGTAAAATATACAATATTGACAAAMAAATACCGCGTTTTCGTCTTGAACACTTTAAACCAATAAATTGTTAATGGAATCAAAGTAAAATACTAAAAGAATGGTGAAAAATTATTGTCGGAGTTAAAAAGGAGGCTACTTATGATTTACTTATATACTTATCACTTATATTCTCTAAGAGTATTTGGTTTATGACGAAGGGATTTTACGCAACATGGAAAACCGCACCTGCATTGAAAATAGACAAAACTTTTCTTTTTTGAATGAAAAAAGGTCCGTTGAACTTTCAAATGGAATTGGAACTCTTTTTCAAATATACTTTTCTGGTATTAACGTCTCTAAACTTCATGTGAAACGGTCATTAATTCAAAAAAGTCGTCATCGAATCAGTTACACTGTTTCTGTAACCAAAACATCACGATCGCCATTCAAGGTCCACAGTTTGAGTCATCGATAGAAAACAAAGGCTTAACAATAAAGATTATTCGGYCTTTATCCCAAACCTTCTAGAAAACAGCTCAAACTTGCAGAGCAGGTAAAACCGGTAAATCAAGTTCCGCGTTCCGATACATATAAGTGTTGCCTATATTTGGAATTGACAGAATGTTTCATGACCTCTTCCATTTGGGTTTACAACAAGCATTTGAATTGAATTACTGTATCGCACTAGTTAATTAAAAACTCTATCAATAAGGAAATAGGATTTGCTTCAAGTAAATTTACTAGAGTACAAGTTGAAAAACACTATTTTGAATTATTGATGGAGGTGTTTGCAAGCAGTTTCTGAAAAAATCATGTATTAAAAAAATCATTCCTCAGCTGAGCTCGTGGTTTGGTGCATATTAAAAATGTTTCCCAGTATAAGCACATTGTATCAATAATACATGCATACATACAGTTAACACTCGTTATAATGCGGAACCTTCGAGAACGGTTACCGTACGTACGTGTCCATCACGGGGTATATGCAATATTTRGGTGTATGTAAGGTGAGAGTATTTAGCAACACGCGCATTCACAAATCTGCCAAGATAACATGCACAACACCTTATTAGGAAGTTTGTATCCATGTATGGTGAATTTTCTATTTTCTCATCTGCCCAGGTTCTTGTCATCACGCCGCAGTTCTGGTTGCCATGACAATAGTCTTCTTCGGCAAAAAGACCTGGTTTTCATTCGTTCCTACGGTCGTCACCAGTTTTCTTCTCATGGCAGCCGTGAYAGTTGTGTTGCCGATGTTGGAAGTGTTTCAARTCTCGTACCCAGTCTACGTAGTTCATGGCTTGGTTATTGTGAATGGTTTGTGTAGCGGGTTTGCTCTGGCAGCTACTGACAGGATGGTGCTACTTTTTCCAGGAGGAAAGAGCTCTATGTTGATTGGTTGGGGATCAGGTTAGCAAACTGWWATGAGTGGCTTCGTGAGCAGACGCTTTCCAAAAATRTCGCAGGCGCGCGCAAGAAAACATATCTTTGGTCACCTTTTTACGTGAAAGACTCCCTCYGCTATACAAATTCCTGGAATATTTTCATGAAATCGCCCGCGAATCTTGAAAATCGTCTGTTTGAAGATACATTGTACCAATGCATATACTTTCATTCTCTTCCAACACATTTTTGTTAAATGACTTCTAATCATTCAAGGACGCGAGTTTAATCTTTTTCGTTTCTGCTCCACAGCTCTTGGCAACATCCTGCCAGCACTAACTAAACTTGTCCTGATAACCATTGACTACCACGCCAGCAACACCAGCATCTTTTCATCCAAGATCTCAATGANAAGGCCTTATCTAAAATGGGCCAAAGCGCTTTTCATTTTTCACTCTCCTTCATAAGGCTTGGTTTCGTGGCAGGAGTTGTACTTTACATCCGGGAACCATATTTTGTCTATCATAATATTTTCATTCTTCTATTGTTCCTCGCGATTGCGGTGACTCATGGAGGATTATTGGTTGGTATGACAACTCAGAGCCAATCAGACTCAGGAATGCAGAACAATGACTTCTGTCCAATCATATCACAGCTCACATGGCTGACCATCCAACTGGGTTCAGTTGTTGGCGTAGCGGTGTCTTTTGTYCCTCTCACGTGATCTGATCTCACCAATGGTCAATCRGAATTAAAATCACGTGATCTTGTAAGGTACCATCCACTTGGCAAAGCAGCAAAGCACAACATTCACTTGYCATGTACATTAACAATAGTAAAGCCATGCGCGCAGAAAAGTGACGTTATTAGATATTAMTAAAATGAAAATGCATAATAATAAAATGAAAATGAAGAGTTCGTTTTCTTATTGATCCCTTTAATCAATATTTACAGTTACCCCTACAAAATTTTTGATACTTTTTCTTTCTTATACTGAGTTACGTTCAATAGTTTCTCCAATCCTAGAAAATGCTTTAAAGTTTTACTTGATAGCTTCAATTCATCAGTATTAAAAATGTCCCACAATGCACTCGAGGTGTAAATCATTASTGCCATAACATTTKCAAACCGCTGTACTATGTCCTCAGACTTCGCATGTTTTTAGTGCTGTTACTCGGTACGCTTTTTCTTGGTTGTGCTGTAGTTTTTTCCGTGGCATTATTTTGATTTGGATCAACATTTTCAGTATCATCAATGTCGTCTTCATCTTCTTCATCTYCCTCGTCCAGATCAAACAAATCGATGCTTTCGTCGTCATCGTCACTTTCAAACGACGGCATTGGTTTTCGCTTTCGGGAAGACTTCGGCTTTGCCGATTTTGGTGCTGGTGGGTTACGTGGGGTTCGGGTCGATTTCGTTGTGTGGTCGTCGTCCGAGTCACTATCGCCATTRGYTGTTTTATTCCGACGTCTTGCCGGAGTTTTCCGAGGACGTGTCGATTTTCCTTTATTAGAGAGAACGGACAGGGTATAATTCAAAGAAATTTTTAGGTTTTTAGAAAAATATATTATTTTTTGAAAGTTCTTTACGAGTTAACGGAAAAGGATATGTTATGTTTACTTACCCGAGGGTGTGGCTGACACGCTTTTCTTGCTCTTAGCAGCCGCGCCTGATGCTTTGGCCGCTCGTTCGTACCCAGCCTCGTCCTCCATTCCTTTGTTGTGGCATTCTTCGATTCGCTGTTCAAGCTCATCAACAAGAGACTGGAGACGAGAGTAAAATTTTGTTTGATAAGGAAATGCACATTAGGTATTAGAAACTATTATGGGTTACTTAGCTTGTGATCACACAGTATTACGAACAGTTTAATCAATTGCAAAAAATAAAAATAAAAATACACTCGAAGGTGTCCACTATAACGAGGGTTGACTGTATCCTTGTTGATAGTTTACCTTGATTTCAGGCTTAGCAAACTTCTTTGACTTGCCGATAACACTCATAAAAGACTGATAGACGTCTTCATCTGATAGCTTGTCGTGGAAGCAGCCAAAGTTGTCTTGTAGTTTGCGAATGGCTCGTTCATTGAACGGTAAGAGGGACAAACAGAAGGCCAAGTCACGCCACTGACGATCAACCCTACAAATCGTACAAAAAAATTACGATGATAAGCGGTATCAATGATGATGATGATCTTTTGTTCAATGTAGCAATGCTGTCAATACAAAAGCTCAGTTTTCTTGTCCACAACCAGCTATTCAGTTTAGAAAAATGGTCCACCATTTTTGAAGCAGACTTGATTTTTCGCAGTAGCAGATGATGATGATGATAGAGTGCGGTGTAGGTTGATGATGATGAAGTTATTTAAGTCATCAACCTCTAGATTTACSTACCTTGTGGCTCTAAACCTGTGACATAATTTCTCCACAAGGCTCTCAGACTGTCGATCTTTTTGTATGAATGAYATCAAATACCTACAAACATATAAAATAATGCAGCATTCAAATATAAACATTTACATGTTTGAACTACATACGCGCAATCGCAAGCGCAAATGGAAAGACAACAAAATGAAGACAACATTCTGACATCTTTCTAGATTTTATGCAAGATATACAGATTTGTTTTCAAGCTACAATTAGTCTCCACCGTACCGCAGCCGGTAAGGGAGAAGGCACAGTATGACACTGGCAAGGACTGCCATGAAGACTACTTTTAGCAGAAGCACTTACTTGAGGATGTTCCTGAATGGTTCTTCCTCAATACCGCAGTCAGGATCGGASAGTCGGCTAATGATATCTGGTAGTACATTGTATATAGCGTTACCCTGTACAAAATCAATTGACTATTAGATTCAAGATTTAAAGGTGATAGTTTCATTCACGTTTTCATTTCATCACCAGTCCACCTGGATAACAGCTGTAGTCAGACTAAGTCTAATGGCGTGTTTTACTTCATTTTTATGYGTATTTTATATTTAAGAAATATAAAACGGCGCGCGTGTCTCTGTCCTCTGATATAAACACGGTCGTCAGCCAATCAGAGCGCGCGTTATATATCAAAAATTTTATGATAAGAAATATAAAACGGCGCGCGTGTCTCTGTCCTCTGATATAAACACGGTCGTCAGCCAATCAGAGCGCGCGTTATATATCAAAAATTTTATATTCTACATTATACAATTACTCACTCCCCAAAAAGCATTTCTTCTACCGTCCTAACTTTGATATCGCGCGAGACGACTGTGGTCCAGTCGATAAAATTTCTTGGAGTTTAGCGGTGCATAAAGCACTTTACAACAAAACTGAACAGYTACTTTGTACCTTTTTGGATAATTCCAGGAAGAAAAGTTTGGCCAGGTCAGCAATTCTCTGGTGCTTATCTTGAAGACAAGTGGCCATTTCACTAATGTTTCCCTTGACTTTGATCATTTCATTGAGGATAAGGTGAGTCAACACCATCATTGTGTTTTTACGGACATGCGCAGATTCATCACGAAGCCTGATAACGAGACACACACCGTTACTAAAGCATGACGAACTGGATTTCAATTATTTGCTCAATTTYCCCTTGACATCGCATCATTTCTACATGGGGACWGAATAGCGCAAATACAATGGTAGTCTATTTGTAAAGTTTTATATTTTGTCATTTGCTCCCAGGTCCCTTTCAACTTCTTTTGTCCTGACTTATCAATAAMGAGAAAAGGACCTGGGAGCWAGTTTATGTTTAATACTGTTTCCCACTGTATTGCCRTCTCCCTTTGACGACCATAATCAYCAGTGTAAAAYAATASAAATGTTTTGGTGTGATGTAATAGGCTGCCTGTGTTACCTTCCATAYAGATGTGCAGTCCAGGGYTCAAGAAGGTTGGGGAACCTGAAYGTYAAATCACCCAGTGCGATGATAGTATTGGCACGGATGGTTGCATGAGGYGACTAAGAGATAAAGTATTAATTARTTATTATAATTAATCTATTAATTAWCATTGTAGTGTTCAYTTRTTTCATCTKTATYCATAGTTACCTTTTCCAGGACTGTGAACAGAAGTTGCAGATGTGATTCACAGAATTCAGAGCTGAAAATTCAAAGAACTATTCATTTTACATGTATTTGAAAACATTACCAATCCATGCATTCTTTAAGCCATTCCTTCATGTTTTAAGCATTGCTCAGCACTTTATATAACCAATCCATCAATAACCTGTGTTACATCCRGAATTTAGATAGAAATTACCGATGTAASACAGGCAACCCATCAAAGGAAACCATCTCTTTAATGCWCAACTAAATCATATCTTACCTAACRAGCATAAACTTGGCCAAGGCCATYGAAACAGCAGCCTGAAGGCCAGGGTCACTGAACTTGGAAGGGTTACTACACACRCARACCAGCAATGGACGAAGAAGAGCAAGAAGATTTTGTCCTGCCAGAAAGATATCAGAGACAGGTATGTATAGGTCAGGAATCTGCGCTCAAATAGGAACATTAATGTAAAAAGTATAAAGGAGGACTAAAAGCAAGAGGTTACCTGTAACTATATCATGTTCACATATCTTTCTAATGTACTCCCCCTCAACATCATCTGCTGTGCCCCCAGTGAGTCCCATCTCTTCCTCAGCTGCATCTGTAGTAGTCGTATCCTKTGTGAACCAATGGAATAATAATTTAATGGATGAATGGATGGGAATATGAATGGATGGATGGATGGGAAAAYATATAAATGAACAAATAGGTGCATAAATGAATTGATGAATATATGGATGGGTAAAATATTGGATGGATGAACAAAATAAATGAATGAGAAAATGAATGAATAGGAACATGAGTGGATGGGTGGATAGATYTGTTGGTATTACCTTAGTTGTATTAACATTAGTGTCATTCTTTTTTCCTGCTTCTTTTTTCTTTTCTTCATTTTCATCTTCCTGAATGGCTTGTCGYCTCTTGATTTCCTTCAATATGCTCACATCTAAATGCACTAGCTGACGCAAGGCGACATGACCACACAAAAACAAGAACCTTGACARCACGCTAGAGTTGCACGTCATCACCTTGGAGATGTTCTGTGATGATAAGACTTCATCTCCTGTTTGGAAATGACAATCCATTTACTCTTTAAACAATATCAATAATGATTGCATTTCTGTTGTTACTTCTTTCATTCTTTATGATCTCATTTTGCTCCAGTTTCAATGAAATGTTTAGGATTCCACCCAGGAATTGCTTTAATGATTCCGCAAAGTCAAAGTTGTCTAACTTTGCTTTATGTTGTTCAATCATTTCTTGTTAAAGAATATGTACCGGTACATAGAATGGATGAGAGAACTCAAGAAATATACTTTGGGATACCTTTGTAGATAATAGTCCCAAGGGAGGGTCCCATAGGATGGTATTATACCTTCATGTGTCTGTGTGTCCTGAGTACTGTCAGGTGGCACAGGTGACTGTCCGTCCTCCTTRACAATCAAAAGAGTAATAACTTTCCSGATGATATTTTCAGCGACTGTCTCAGGATGCTCTGACAAACTATAAATGACATTGATCGCCTGCTCTGCCATTGGTGAAAAGTGGTTGTCATGGGTACTGTTGATGCCTAAAAACATACAGAATAATTATAATGATAATGGTGACTTGGGTGGACCTAGGGGAGTGGTTAAGGGGGGGGGAGGTTAAGGGGGGGGGAGGTTTGGCTCCCATATGATGTCTGCATAGTAGGATTGCACTTACCGTTGACAATGAGATATGTCAAACGTTCAAACATTTCATGTGAAGATGCAAAACGAACTGGTTCCTCYGACATGCTGCCTGGTTTCTGAACACAAAAGAAATATTTACTGAATACTATTAAGGCATCTTTTAAGTCAATCTATTTTTAGTTCATCTTATAATCCAATCAGAACATCCCTCCTTCAGCCCACCCATTCATAGCTATTACATACCTTGGTTTTGATAAGTTTCAAAAGTGCAACACAGGTATCCCGAGCAAGCAGATAGTCCTCCTCTGCACGGCTTCCAAGTCCAGATTTGACCAACACATCAATGTTACTTCTAACAATGTCGGTCTCAGCACTAAACAGAAGTTAAAGTTATTATAACAGTAAGTTGTATAACAGTTAGTAACAAGACCATGAAATAGACTACAGTGAATTGGAATCAGTTTGTTGTTTTCACCTTGCAAGCATTCTTAGCAGAATCAATGCAGCACGACTTTCTTCRGGTGTTGTCTGGACTGCCTGGAAAGAGAAAATGAAATGAAATGGGATAGACAAATAAGATGGATAAGATGTGAGAAGGGATTTATGAATGTATTAAAAAAATACAAACAAATTTATTATTGGATGTCATTGGATAAATGAAGAAATTCTTGAATAAATGGAATGAAATAATTGTACCTTCATTGTGAACTTTTCCCAGAGCAACTTGACAACAGACCCAGGTATCAACTTTGCCTTCATGAGTTCACACATCTGTTAATWAGTAAAAGAATTATACACTAATGACAAGCAAAAATACTATCTGAAATATCTCTTACAACCTTTTAAAAAAACTAAGCAACTATGAAAATGTAAGCTCAACTGTGCCACTACAGGGACAAGGACTGCTTTTCATTACAATTTTTCTAATCTTTTCTAACTATATCTTAAATTTCATGAATGCTGTTTTACATAAAAATCATTTTCAAGTTTTTCTAAATTCTAAAAGTTCTTNGGAACCCGGTAACGGTAACTTAATGAGAAAATTAATAGAGAACAATGAGAATAAATAAATAGTTTTGAACACAAGTAACGCAGGCTCAAGTTTACAGGAAAGTGAGTGAGTGAGTGAGTGAGTGAGTGAGTGAGTGAGTGACAGATTCGTCCCCCTCCAATAACTCTTCGATTGCTTCGCAATCTTCGAGTTAAAAAGTACAACAAAAATTGCAATGAAGAGCTGCCTGAGCTGGACTCTATCCACAGGCAGCCCATCCAATGTTATAATTCAAGTTGACTCACCAGTTCCTCCAAAGAAGTCAAGTCTCCAATGGAAGCTCCAAAGATTAGAGTTATCAGGCTGTTCACTATGATCCCTGTCCTTGCCCTACATGAATCAATAATTCAAATACTTGCACTGACAGTTACGGACTTTATGCCCAGCTTAATAYAATAATAAAATCCACTAAGAAACTGTTCATTCTTGTTGTAAAAGGAATAATAATAAATCCAATCATTACTGAAAGTACAATTTACCTTTGGTTGGGAGCWGGAGGATCAAGATAAAGACCCTTATAGGCCTCTACAACAGAGTCCTTAACAGCAGTGTCCCTGGACCATATYAGCACCAGCATTCTACGCACCCCAASAATAGCGTTCCTCAGACCAAACTCATAYGAAGTAACAAAGAATTCAATGGCTTCAGAAACATCGCTTGTTGTCTTGGAACCAAGGAGTTGGCAGATAACTGGYACTGCTGTTTCCATTTGAGTCTGGAAGTTGACGTAATCCTGGAAAAAGCAATATATCTTAAAATACTACRGAACAAATTAGATACCACAAACTTCTTTCTGCATACCTGTAGATACTGCACAACAAGCTGCTGTTTAACAATCTCACTGTCCACACCATTGTTTTCTTGTGCATTTTCTGTGCTCTGATTGGCTACTTCTAATAATKCTTCTGCATTRAGTTCATCATCTGCTTGGGCTACCTGTGRATTTTCTGAAGCTGGMAAAGGATGATGGGATTTTACTTTTGAATAAACAAATGAGTATTTAATTAACGAACAAAAAATGAAAAAAATATGAATGAATGAMAAATGAGCGAATAAAAGGAATATTATACAAATATAGATGAATGAAAAACATTATATGAAAAGTGAATTGAATTGGCAAATAAAGGATAAAAAGTAAAACAAATGAAGAAATTTGAGATTAAGAAAGAAAGAATGAATGAGTCAAATAGATGGATGGATGACTGACAGGTACCCTACCCATGTATATAGCCTTAAGAATGCTTAAAGTGTCTGCCACCAGCTGTTCTTTACTGGTAGATTCACCTTCCTTGTCACTGTCTTGACTGTGAATAAAAGAATGGAAATATGGATGAGAAAATTAATGGATGAACTGTAAATGTAAGAAAATGATGACAATATATTAATAAATGAATGAATGTTTGAGTGATTGAAAAAATGAATGAAATGTTGGATGAATGGTTAGATGCGAAGATTAATGAACTTTATAATTCATTTTCTTATCTGTCCCTTCATCTACCCGTTCATTATTTTTTTATTTCTTTCATCCATTCTTTTTCTGAGAGAATAAACCTACAAGTCTACTTGAGCAACGGTCAACAAAGGTTCCTCTGGCCAACAACTTTGTGCTTTCTTTAGTGCAATCAGTGCTTTCTTGTGATGTCCATCATTCAGTAGTTGTCTGATCTCCTTCAAAGTCCTGAATAAGAAGTAAAACAAAGCAATGACAGGGTGCCCGAGCAATAAGCTGAACAGTGGCCACAGGCAGCCCATCATGAATGTAGCTTTCTTACTGTGCTAAAGCTTCAGGTTCTTTGTCGTTATTGTTTTCACCATCTTCATTGACTTCTTCCTGGTCAAAGTGTTCGTTTACTGTAGACTGCAGTTCAGGAACAATTGCATTCCAGATATCCTCTGTACATGCAGCCACTGGAACTAAAACAAGACATTGAAATGGTCTGATAAAAATGGAAGTTTAAACAAATGGATGGATGAACAGGTAGTGGGTGGTTCAGTACAATGTAACTAGTGGATGGATGGGATGCATAAATAAAATCAAGAAATAAGATAATGAATGAATGATTGCCGAGAGTATAAAGACGACTTATACAATGAGCAAGATATGAATGAATGAAATCCTTCATGATTTCTGCTGTACTCTGTTACAGTTCAAATTACCCAATACCTTGATCAGTTGATTCCTGGTTTAGATTAGGAGCCATTTCCTGGAGCTTTGTCGTCTCAGAAGCCAGCTTCTCTTTCAAGTGATTTAGTGGAAGCTGGAATCATTTGATATTTGATATYGGTGAATTACAACAAACTTTTTAAAACAAAAWKRAAAAAATAATTCCCTTACATTTGCACCGAATGGATTGTTGACAAGAAAACTCTTCAAAACTTGAACAGCATATTTACGCACACTGCTAGATTTGTCTTGTAATCGTCCTATTACRAGCTCCAGTAAATGGTATTGCCTTGGTAATGGTATAGCATTGTTATTGCACAACTGTAGCCAGATTTGAAGGACTTTGCTCCTCACATATGCATTGGTGTCATGAAGATGGGACTGTCAGTAAAGAAAATGAAAATAGTGATTAATATGATATAATATCTTTTTTTAGTGTATACAGCCTTTTGCA